CAGCTCTGGATCAGGACAGTTCCTGATAAACATTACTGTAACTTCACGAAAGGGGTCATCTAGAGTTTTTCCCTGTCTCTTCAGTCCTTCCCCAGTAATGTCAATAGCATTGTGCAGCCTAATCCAATAGTCGAATGACTTCTCGTTTAGCAATGGCAATGTGGTGTAAAAATCTGCCAAAGGCATGCACGAATGCACAGTGTCACTAGTCACTACAATGTTGTTTGAGCAGGTCAAAGACTGGCTTTTGACCCTTACTGAGGTCGATCAATGGGTTACTTCTCAGTCCAACCTTCACCACATCACTCTGCCCTGCAACTTAGTCAGTACTTCGTCAGTTTGGTCTTTCAAGGGCACTTCACGCTTCTTCAAGTACTCTTTTACACTCTCCACCCGCTCATCAACAGAAATGTTCTCCTCCCCATCACCTCTGAAATATGGAGGCTCATTGACATCATGCTTAACAACCAAGTTAACTTTTGACAGTTCACTCATATTGAAAGTTGAATCACTTTGTTTGTTTTGGCCAAAAACCCCAGATTCAAGACAGGTGACTATGTTCTGGCCAATGCTGCTGCCTATTTGTTTCACTATGTCATTAATCAGGTTCACTGGCACAGCATTTAAATCAGATAATTGCACAGAATCATCAGAAACAGCACAAGACTGAGACACAATAGGTGTCTGCACATCAACACTTCTTGTGTGAATAGGGGTTGAGAAAAGTGGACCTATTTTATCAGCCCCACCAATCTAATGTGTATGAGCCAGAGCTTGTGAGCGAAGCGGAGCGGTGTGACGCTCCGCTACATTTTCCGCTCTATGGACGTGCGCTCCACTCAGTTGCTCTAACCGAGAATTAATGAATTAACGAACGAATGAATTCGTGGCAGTTAAGCCTAAACAAGAGAATTCGTGGCCATAATTTAGACTAAACGAAAAAATTCATTCTTAATTCGTGGCCATAATGTAGTCCTAGCATAAAAGAGAACTAGCCTATTCTAAATTTGTGGCTGTGATTTTGTCTGCATGTCATGATCGGGGCTCCGTACAACCGAATATAACCTTAGCCTACCTGTTTATTCATTTATTATGGTATGTAACTAGCTCACCTTTTGCTGCACCATGTTTGCATACATCTTCGTGCTTTCTGTAATCAATATGAATCTGTACTAACTTTAACAGTCTCCCCGCACTCCCTCTCAGTTTCTTCTCCCTGCTCATTCTTAACTTTGATTTTTACTTTACATTTATGTATAAGGCTTGCAACTTCGTTGAAACAATATCTGAACTCCATAACTGCTCTACTATTCTTGATCTCTACAGATTCTTGATCTTGAACAAGCAAATCACCAAACGGCATTCTGGGTTGAGCGAGTGGCACTGAGCGTATTGAGCGAGCGGAGCAGAATCTTCAGAAAGGCGCTCTGTGCTCTTAAGGAAATATTACCACTCCGCTCTGCTCACATGCTCTGGTATGAGCAAACCTCAGTACCCCTCTCCCTCTTCCCATACTGTTCTGAATATTAGAACCCTCCATATCAGATGAAGTCACAATACTTCTTATAATTTACTTTTTTTTTTACAATGAAAAAAATCTATAAAATTTAAATCAACAATATAATTTAGAATTCCAGCGGTCAACACTAAAATAACTCAAGATAGTATTTAAAGTCCTTTGAAGAATGAATTCAATTCACGGATCAAGATATTTCAGTCCACTAAATACTAAAGACGTTTTAACGAATCAGGTATCCAGTTCACAGTTTATATGTACAGATGGCGAACCTCTCATCCACTCAGTCACGTTGCAGTGGTCCTATCCCCCGGTCACGCCTCCACTCGCGTGCAACATTGGTCCCACGAAGAGTGAAGCAATGGTCGCGGCACCAGTTGTAGCGGTGTGTTTTCTGCATTGCGTCGAAATGAAAAACAGACTGCGAAAATTCTTTTCATCAGGTCCTCATTTATTCTGGATAACACAAACTAATATATATGAGGACTCGTGCAGCATTTAAACCAGCGTGCGGCAGCAATGCACGACGCTGAGAAAGAGAAGATATTAAAAAGAAACTTAAATAAAGAAACAATCAATGAAACATCTGAGTGTGCATCACATAGGGTCTTTAGATCACAATCATACATATGTATCATGTGAATTAATCCGTTACATGAAATACGCCCTAATTGAATCCCTGCAAAAACTTGTGCGACCTACCGCTGTGACGTCTCATGCAGACTGGGAAGCAGCAAAGTGCGCCAACCCCCCCCAAGTCAGCATGGCCGCAGGAAACCCCAAATATGGTCATGGCAAGTGGAATCACAAAATCATTTCCTAAATACACACCTGCTACACTGGCACATTCAGCTTTATCCTGCAGTACAGGGGTCTGGTCTGATTTAGGGAAAGAAGGAAAAGAGAATTGTTTAGAGCTATGACAACGTAATAGTAGAAGAAATATTGAGATACTTTAGTAAACTACTTTTAGTAACTACTAATACCTCATTGGGGACTACTAGTCATATTTAAAACCTTAGCTAAAGGGATAGTTGACCCAAAAATGAAAATTCCAAACCTGGAGGGTGAGTAAATGATTACAGAATTTTCATTTTTGGGTGAACTATCCTTAAAGTAAAAGTATTATCTTAAGTATAATCTAATATACTTAAGGTTTTGAGAGTAAAAGTAAAGGTATACAGTATTGTTCTGAAAAATAATTCATTAGGATGGTTTTGCATTAATATTACTGCTGCACTACTGTGTATGTTAAATTACTTCTGAATATGTTCAAGGTTATTAAATTTAAAGTGGCCTACTAAATATACTGTTGGGTAGTTTAATCTACAACAATGCATCATGTTGTAAAAGACCATATTTTTGTAGTGTTGCTGTCCTGTGAGGGAAAAAAAAAGAAAACTTAGTACTTCATATTTGTACGAGTATACTTAACGAATGTACTCCCTTACAGTCCACCTCTGATTATTTTGAAAATGAAAGTATCAACATTTTGTCAGAATATTAACACATTTTTGCTAACTATATCAAAGGCTGCATCTGAAGGGCTCGGACCAGTCAAACAGAGCACTGTTCAGCTGTGACAGCTGCCGCTGAACATTGAGCTGTACAATGCTCTATTTTTTTATTCACAGTTTTATTTTTATGCTTAACTGCCTAAAAAATCCAGGTTTCAAACCTGTCTACATATGATCACCATGGTCAAGACAATAAACTATATAAAATCGCACCTTTGTAAGATATCAGTCAGCATTTGAACTGCTATGAGTGTGTGTGTGTGTGTGTGTGTGTGTGTGTGTATTTAGTAGTTTTTCATATGTATCATTACATTATTCAAGTAAGCTCCAAGCCAATTCCTGCTTTTAAAGTTGTAATCCGACAGCAGCAAAAGGACGCAGCAAAAAGGACGCAGCAAACCAGTGTAACTTACCTGGCCTCGGTCTTGGCTAAAGCCCCGTTCACACTACAAGCGACACGCAATGGCAAAGTGACACAATCCCATTCATTTCAATGGAGAGCTGGTGATTTCTGGCGACTCGAGCGACAGCGGCCGTTGGCAACCGGATGGGGCGTGTCCAGCGACGCGAAAAATTTCAGGGGCAAGTTCAAGCTCAAAGCGGTGTGTACCGTTTTTGTCGGGGCTGAACGCATCCCAGAATCCATCAACTTTATGCAAATGAAGAGCGACTTTCGGGAGCGACAGCCAATAGGAAAGAAGACGGTAGAGCTCATGTGATCGTTCTCCTCTCGTCGCCGTAGATAGACATACGCAATGGAAGAAAGTAGGCTCTGTTTCTCATTCATTTTTGTTTGTATGTACGGATTTAATATAGATTTAGATTATATTTAGTCTTTTGCCTCCAAAATGTTTGTACTTAGCTGCAAGAAACCTGATTCGCTGTCAAGGCAACCAGTATTGAGAACGCCCACTAGCAACCTCATCGCCAGCCCCTGGCGACTAGGGATGGGCGATACCCCTTATTTTGTTTTCGATACGATACCGATATTTTTCAAGGCAGTATCGTCGATATCGATACCGATTCGATACTTCTGCACTAAACTTTTAAATTATGAAATGTATTAAATTATTAAATTACTAAGAGTAAAATGGGTAATTTTGAAAATGAAAGTATCAACATTTTGTCAGAATATTAACACATTTTTGCTAACTATATCAAAGGCTGCATCTGAAGGGCTCGGACCAGTCAAACAGAGCACTGTTCAGCTGTGACAGCTGCCGCTGAACATTGAGCTGTACAATGCTCTATTTTTTTATTCACAGTTTTATTTTTATGCTTAACTGCCTAAAAAATCCAGGTTTCAAACCTGTCTACATATGATCACCATGGTCAAGACAATAAACTATATAAAATCGCACCTTTGTAAGATATCAGTCAGCATTTGAACTGAGGTGTGTATTTTGGAGTTTTTCATATGTATCATTACTTTATTCAAGTAAGCTCCAAGCCAATTACTGCATTTAAAGTTGTAATCCGACAAAGGACGCAGCAAACCAGTGTAATTTACCTGGCCTCGGTCTTGGCTAAAGCCCCGTTCACACTACAAGCGACACGCAATGGCAAAGTGACACAATCCCATTCATTTCAATGGAGAGCTGGTGATTTCTGGCGACTCGAGCGACAGCGGCCGTTGGCAACCGGATGGGGCGTGTCCAGCGACGCGAAAAATTTCAGGGGCAAGTTCAAGCTCAAAGCGGTGTGTACCGTTTTTGTCGGGGCTGAACGCATCCCAGAATCCATCAACTTTATGCAAATGAAGAGCGACTTTCGGGAGCGACAGCCAATAGGAAAGAAGACGGTAGAGCTCATGTGATCGTTCTCCTCTCGTCGCCGTAGATAGACATACGCAATGGAAGAAAGTAGGCTCTGTTTCTCATTCATTTTTGTTTGTATGTACGGATTTAATATAGATTTAGATTATATTTAGTCTTTTGCCTCCAAAATGTTTGTACTTAGCTGCAAGAAACCTGATTCGCTGTCAAGGCAACCAGTATTGAGAACGCCCACTAGCAACATCATCGCCAGCCCCTGGCGACATGCAGCGACAAAAGTCACTGCTAGTGTGAATGCAGCTTTAGGTCATTCTCGCAATACCGAGTGACCAGAGACTTTCAGCACTGCCTGATGTTACAAACCTCTACATGTTCTTTCTTCTGTTGAACACAAATTAAGGTATTTTGAAGCATGTGGACAAACAGTTGCTGGTCAACATTGACTTCCATTGTATTTTTTTTTGTCATACTATGGACCAAATACTGTTTGGTTACCAGCGTTTTTCAAAATATCTTATGCTCAGCAGAAGAAAGACTCACACAGGTTCAGAACGAGATGAGGGTGAATCAATGATGAAGTAATTTTCATTTTTGGGTGAACTATTGCTTAAAGATACCATAATCACAACTAAAAGATGCTGTGTTTTGGACAAATTTGGTATAACTCGATCCCAGAATGCATTATGATGTCAGGAATTGTACCATAGTTACATTTTTAAAAACAGCCTGTTCTATACACTACACAGACATGCAGTTTGTTTTTTTTGTTTTTTTATATATATATATATTAAGATTCACAAATGTTTGTATTCAGAAACTACATTAATGGAGCTGTACAATGCTCTATTTTTTTTATTCACAGTTTTATTTTTGCTAACCTGTCTACATATGATCACCATGGTCAAGACAATAAACTATATAAAATCGCACCTTTGTAAGCTATCAGTCAGCATTTGAACTGCTATGTGTGTGTGTGTGTGTGTATTTTGTAGTTTTTCATATGCATCATTACATTATTCAAGTAAGCTCCAAGCCAATTCCTGCATTTAAAGTTGTAATCCGACAAAGGATGCAGCAAACCAGTGTAACTTACCTGGCCTCGGTCTTGGCTAAGCCTGAGGTACATCACCGTCTCCTCCATTATGACGTAAAACATAAAAACTAAAATGAGCAATTCTGGCTCCACCTATCCTGGCAGGATTATCCTCTCGTCAGCTCTCCTCTTGCACCGTTGCTATGCGACAGAGTGCTAATCGGGAACCTCTGGTGTCGCAATTAGGAAATCCTGCGAAGGCAGAGCGTCCTTCATGCACTTCAGAGGGCCCTTCGTGCACTTCGGAGGCCTGGTCTTCAAAGTCCATGGCCTTCGAAGTGTGCACACTCAACTTTGGGACACAGCTGTCTTCAAGATCACTAGAAACTTACAGGCAGGTGTGTTTGATTAAGGATCAGCTAAACTCTGCAGGACAGTGGCCCTCCAGGTCCAAAGTTGACCAGCCCTGGTCTAGAATATGGAACATCACATTTAAACCTGTTAACTCTAGTCAGCTGCCTGTGAAAACACCATTTAAAGGGGACAGTTCAACTAAAAATGAAAGTTCTGTAATTTACTCATCCTCAAGTTGTTACAAACCTCTACATGTTCTTTCTTCTGTTGAACACAAATGAAGGTATTTTGAAGAATGTGGACAAACAGTTGCTGGTCCACATTGACTTCCATTGTATTTTTTTTTGTCATACTATGGACCAAATACTGTTTGGTTACCAGCGTTTTTCAAAATATCTTATGCTCCGCAGAAGAAAGACTCACACAGATTCAGAACGACATGAGGGTGAATCAATGATGAAGGAATTTTCATTTTTGGGTGAACTATTGCTTAAAGATACCATAATCACACCTAAAAGATGCCTTGTTTTGGCCAAATTTGGTATAAATCGATCCCAGAATGCATTATGATGAGCTCAGGTGAGATCTGAGGTGTCAGGAATTGTACCATAATTACATTTTAAAGTACAGCCTGTTCTATACACTACACAGACATGTGTATATATATATTATAGTGTTACAAGCTGATTGTGCATAGATAGGTTCCCTGAAGTTGCAAAGACTAAAGTCTCAAAACCAAAGAGATATTCTTTATCAAAGTTAAGACTCTGCCACGCCCCCCTAAAACGGCTCGTTCTAACACGCCCCCACATATCTACCTCACTATGTGGAAATATTTGCATAATATATTATTATATATATATTATCGCTCTCTTCCGCTATCTTCCTACTCTTCCTACCGGTCCAGTTTATCAACACTGCCTGTATGCCGTGTAAAAAAGGCTTGCATATGCTGTGAATAACCCCAACATGGACAAGGAGCATGATGGAATGAGCAAACAGACACCAAATGAAAATGTAAATTCAGTCTCTGACAGTAGGTGGCACTTATTGGAACAGCAGTAATTCAGAGGTTTCCAGAGTTACCCTTGTAAACACAGCAGGCTACTCTACTTTCTGTTTCTGATACGCTGGTCACAGAGAAGAGAGTAATGCTGCGTTCCATTTGTACTCGGAAGTTGGAAATTCTGAGTTCCCAGTAAGAAATTTTAACTGGAATGCCCTCCCAAGTTGGAGTTCCGACTCGGAATCTTGGAGGAATCGCAACAACTCCAACTTCAGAATCCAATATGGCTGTTCAGTGCATCAGCAGAAGAGAAACGGTGGTAATATATTGTTTATTGGCACTTATGTTTGTCTGTGTCTCAAACTCAGTGGTGCACACTATCCAACCCACTGATCTATATAATGACTGGATTGCTCATTGTGTTCTAAACTGGCATTCGGCTGTGAAACCACCGGAAATGTAAGTAACACACTGATCCAACAAACTCTGACAGACTTGGCTGTTGGAGTTTGTTGACATTTGTCTGTGCTGTGTGAATTGGCCTTAAGTCCATAGCATTTGTAGTCCATGTTATTTCTCTGATTAAAGTGCATATTGCAGGTTAGAGACCCAGTGAGTCAATGTATAGAAAGCTAATGTAGGAACTAGATTTAGTTTAAAATATACTTATACTGTGTGTGTGTGCATATATATATATATAAATATATATATATATATATATATATCACACACACATATATATATATATATATATATATATATACACTATCTTATGCTCATCAAGGCTGCATTTATTTGATCAAAAATACAGGAACAAATTTTATATTGTGAAATATTATTATGATGTCAAATAACGTTTTTCTATTTTAATATACATTAAAATCTCATTTATTTCTGTGATGCAAAGCTGAATTTTCAGCATCATTACTCCAGTCTTCAGTGTCACATGATCCTTCAGAAATCATTCTAATATGCTGATTTATTATCAGTGCTGGAAACTGTTGTGCTGCTTAATATTTTTTTGGAACCTGTGATACTTTTTTTTCTGGATTCTTTCATGAATAAAAAGTTAAAAAGAAGAGCATTTATTTAAAATAGAAATCTTTTCTAACAATATACACTACAGTTCAAAAGTTTGGGGTCAGTAAATTTTTATTCTTTCTTTTTTTGAAAGAAATTAAAACTTTTATTCAGCAAGGATGTGTTAAATTGTTAAGTGATAGCAAAGATTTATATTGTTAGAAAATATTTATATTTTGAATAAATGCTGTTCTTTTTAACTTAATTATTATTATTAAAATTAACTTAATAATCAAAGAATCCTGAAAAAGTATCGCAGTTTCCAAAAAAAAATATTTGGCAGCACAACTGTTGCCAACATCGATAATTCGAATAATAAATCAGCTATTAGAATGATTACTTAAGGATCATGTGACAATTTATACTGGAGTAATGGCTGATGGAAATTTGAATAGACATTTAGCAGACGCTTTTATCCTAAGCGACTTACAAATGAGGACAATGGAAGCAATCAAAATCAACAAAAAGAGCAATGATATGCAAGTGCCATAATAAGTCTCAGTTAGCTTAATGCAGTAAACGTAGCAAGGTTTTTTTTTAATCATATAATAAATAAAAAGAAAAGAGATAGAATAGAAAAAGAATAGAGCAAGCTAGTGTTAGAGCCCTTTTTTGCGTTTGTTACTCAGAAGAAGTCAGAATTATAATTGTATAATAAATAAAAAGAAAACCAATAGAATGCAAAAAGATTAGAGAAGCAAGTGTGTTTTTTTGTTTAGTTTTTTAAAGAAAACAAACAGTAAATAAATAGAGTGCAAGTCTAAAAGGGGCAAGTTTTTTTAATTTTTTTATAAAGAATAGAATTAGAATAGAGAGTGCTAGAGTTAGAGGGTCAAATAAAGATGGAAGAGATGTGTTTTTAGACGATTCTTGAAGATGGCTAAGGACTCAGCAGCTCGGACTGAGTTGGGAAGGTCATTCCACCAGGAGGGAACATTTAATGAAAAAAAAGTCCGTGAAAGTGACTGTGCCTCTTTGAGATGGCACAATAAAGTAACATTCACTTGCAGAACGCAAGCTTCTATAGGGCACATAAGTCTGAAGTAATGAATTTAGGTAAAGGGGTGCAGAGCCAATGGTGGTTTTGTAGGCAAACATTAATGCCTTAAATTTTATGTGAGCAGCTATTGGTAGCCAGTGCAAACTGATAAAGAGAGGTGTGACGAGCATTCTTTTTGGCTCTTTAAAAATTTATCTTGCTGCCGCATTCTGGATTAATTGTAAAGGTTTGATAGAAGTGGCTGAGTGCCATAATAAGTCTCAGTTAGCTTAATGCAGTAAACGTAGCAAGGTTTTTTTTTAATCATATAATAAATAAAAAGAAAAGAGATAGAATAGAAAAAGAATAGAGCAAGCTAGTGTTAGAGCCCTTTTTTGCGTTTGTTACTCAGAAGAAGTCAGAATTATAATTGTATAATAAATAAAAAGAAAACCAATAGAATGCAAAAAGATTAGAGAAGCAAGTGTGTTTTTTTGTTTAGTTTTTTAAAGAAAACAAACAGTAAATAAATAGAGTGCAAGTCTAAAAGGGGCAAGTTTTTTTAATTTTTTTATAAAGAATAGAATTAGAATAGAGAGTGCTAGAGTTAGAGGGTCAAATAAAGATGGAAGAGATGTGTTTTTAGACGATTCTTGAAGATGGCTAAGGACTCAGCAGCTCGGACTGAGTTGGGAAGGTCATTCCACCAGGAGGGAACATTTAATGAAAAAAAAGTCCGTGAAAGTGACTGTGCCTCTTTGAGATGGCACAATAAAGTAACATTCACTTGCAGAACGCAAGCTTCTATAGGGCACATAAGTCTGAAGTAATGAATTTAGGTAAAGGGGTGCAGAGCCAATGGTGGTTTTGTAGGCAAACATTAATGCCTTAAATTTTATGTGAGCAGCTATTGGTAGCCAGTGCAAACTGATAAAGAGAGGTGTGACGAGCATTCTTTTTGGCTCTTTAAAAATTTATCTTGCTGCCGCATTCTGGATTAATTGTAAAGGTTTGATAGAACTGGCTGGAAGATATATGTATAATGTGGGGTTGGGTTTTTCACATGACACATAAATGATATATTTCAAGGAGTCAATTCTGCTGTTTTCCACATGCACCGCAATCTCTGGCAGTTCATTATAGTGTAGTATAATAAACATATCCTATCACACAGTATTTAAATCCGGAACAAATTAGCTTTTTTCGAGATTAATGCAGATATTTGTGTGTGTGTATTCGGCAGTTCTGAAATATTGATTTAATGTTATACACAGTAATTGTTATGCTTAAATTTAGGCAGAACCTTAATTTTGTGAGGTGCACGGCACCAGTTTTTTTATTTTAGTTATTGTGAAGTGAGATAACGGTGTATAACATTAAATAAATATACATATATAATAAAAACTAAATTCATTTTTTGCTGTAACTAGGCTAAAATGTAAGTCATTCTAAAATAGGAACCAAAGCGCAATTCTCTATTAGTCCTATAGATTCAGTTTTCTATGTATTCTGTAGCTTATTGTGGTGATGATAATAATAATAATAAAGATAATAATAATAAAAAAAACATCTGTGTGGAGTTTGTATGCTCTCTCTGTGTTGATGGGTTTTTTTTCAATTATTGAGAAGTGAAAGGAATGAATAGCCTCTCTTTGCGCAGACACAAAGGCCTCTTAGCAAAGTTTTTCGTATTTGAGTTCGTGGTCACCAGAATCAATGGCACGGATAAACATGAATTATTATTAGAATATTCCTGTCCCTGCTCTCTTGGCCGTATAGCAGGCTCATAATTGTATGGCTGTGGTCCGCTATATGAGTATGAATAAACATTTACAATTCCCTCAGTGTCCGAACTGTCATTGCGATTCATAGTTTTCCTATTGTTTAAATTGACCGCACTCCCTCCCGTTACGTCACTTCTGGTTTTGACGATTTTCAGAAGCAGAAGTAACATTTTCTCACAAAAACGACTCCTGAAGCCTCAAGCAGCGTATTTATAAGAATATTTTAAACAAAATATAGTTCCTACATAATTTTTCTTTACATCGACTCACTGAGTCTCTAACCTGCAATATGCACTTTATGATGCGTGTATTTTTTTATGTCCTGATGGAGCAATATCTATTTCAGACTCTTCAAGATTGTGCAAATTCTATGGCGATTTACAAGCATTTCAGTTTGCATAGGAGTAAAATGTTATGTTATGTATGTTTAAGTAATTATTAATTTAACCAACATTTAAATCATTAACTGCTTCAAAATGCATGCTGTTAACGAAATCAGTTGAAACATTTGCAGTTAGCCTACTGTACGAATAAAAACAATAAAACAACATAATTACATAAACGGTAAATGTACAAGGTGAATTAATGTATACAAATCATTAATCTTAATTGACATTTTGTGAGCACTTTGTCATTTGAAATGCATATGTAAGAATGTACAGGGATACTTCAGATATACTTCAGGAATTATTCTGAAATACTAAGGACTCAGTTCACTTCCAGCGACTCAGCATCAGTGTGGAAAAGTCTGAACGAGATCACCAACTACAAGGCACCATCCCCCAGCACTGTGGAGAATCAACAACTGGCAGATGATCTGAATGAGTTCTACTGCAGGTTTGAAAAAACACCCCACACCTGCTCTGAACACCTCTCCACACAACCATTCGCACCATTCACACATCCTGCAACCCCCCTCTCCCCCACACCTGTGAAGACGATGTGCGCCAGGTCTTCCGGAAGCAGAAAACTAAAAAAGCACCAGGCCCAGATTGTGTTACACCACCACCCTGTCTGAAATCCTGTGCTGACCAGCTGGCCCCCATCTTTACACAGATCTTCAACGTATCACTGGAGCTGTGCGAAGTCCCTTCAGTGGAAAACACATTTTCCCAGATGCCTTGGCATTAGGTTGTTGCTATATGAGATTGCTATTTGTGTAGATAATGTTTATTCAGGGTCAGTGTATACAGATAGATACATTAGGCACATTATCTGTATTCACAGTAAATGCTTATTTACTATTCCATACCAGCATCCTTAGTGACCACGATTGACTCCCCCATAAACTGCTAACTACCCATTCATTGCTTCATCCAGTCTGTTGCTCATTTACTTGGCATTCATTCAGTTAATACCCATTTGTGTAGTAGCTTGTAGCTTCTGTTTGATTATTGATCCAATCTTCTTGGTAGTTTAGTCATTTCCCCTTTGTAATTTAATAAATTTCCTTAGTAGTATTTAGTGAGTGTGATATTCTAATCTTTTTGTTAATAAATATTTTTTTTATTGCCACTGTGTTATTCTTGTATTGATAATTAGAGGCTCTACAAGCCTGCCAGAATCTCACTTACCCTTCAGATTAGTCGGATGGTAAACTCCCTCCAATTTTTATAATTCTAATTCTTTATTGTCAAGGTGAAAGGCCTTGGCTGGTTCCCCAATGAAGGGAGGGAGGTGCCATCTGATACCCACACCCACTATAAGTGTGTGTGGATGCTCTATATAATATTTTGTACACTGCAATACCAAAACCCATCACAAATCCAACCTCTATTTGTGGACATGATACTGTGGTGTTATCTGTGCAAAAAGTTCTAAATCGACTTGTATTGCGAACAATTGATGGATGCGTACATCTTGGTTTTCTGACTTCTGTACTGGAACACGGTCCACTTAGGTGTGTCATCATTCCCAGTTCCGACATCCAACTTCCGAGGTAAATCGAACGCAGCATAAGTATGATTTTGATCAAACATCAAAGACTGATATGTGTAAAGTTCTTAGCCATGCAAAGCTTGAAATAATTAAATGATAGTCAGAATTAGTTTTATGGATTTTTTTTTTTACCTTTGTTTTTTACATATGTTTTTTGTTGTCAAATACTTGATGCACCATGCTTTTATGGCCCATTTAGTGAAATGGTGAGAATATGGATGGTGGAAAAAAACGGCTCAATATTATTCAGATGTCAAACTTGGTGCAGTTATTCATATGGCCAAAATGTGTTTTTTTTTGTTTTTGTTTTTTTTACAACAATATGAAATTCAGTAGACTATGCCTACAATGATGATTGCGAAATGAACAAATAAATGTTCCTCAAAAGCCTGTTGTATCATTTAATACATACACTGTAAAAAAAAAATCGGTGACATTTACGGTAAAGTACCGGCAGCTGTGTTTGCCAGAACTTCACCGTTAAAAAATATGGTAGCAACATTTTAGGTTTTACAGACTTAACTTAAAGGGGTCCTATTATGCTCTTTTACAAAGTCTTGATTTTGTTTTGGGGGTGTACTAGAACATCCTCTCATGCCTGGTGGTTAGAAAAACGCATTATTTTTCACATAATTTACATTATTAAAATACCTTTCTCCCCAGGCTGGCACAAATGGCTCGATTAGTTCCGGCTTTGATGAAGGTCCACCTTCTGAAAAACTAAATGTGTTATGATTGGTTAGCTGTCCCAGTGCGTTGTGATTGGCGAACAGCTTAGACGGTGTTTCAGTACTTCAACGCCTCTTGCTCCGTCTTTCAACAAAAACTTTTTGGGCGAATCCGGCAGGCACTGTACTCCCTCATGTTGTGGAAGCTGTCCTCAGTAAAATGCGCATGACACAATAGCAAATTGGGGTTATAATGCTCAGGAACAGAGTTAAAAAATAAATAGCAACCACTGTTTCCTGACATCATCTGCTTTTGGAAGCCCAAACAAAGACGTTTGGGCATGGAGGTGAAAAAAACAACGTTTCAGGCGGTCGCGCACTGGACAAGAAGCGCAGCGTCGCGTCTTTAAAATTCAAATACATTATTTTCTATGAGTGTAGGCAAACCGTTCGGCGTCTGTCCGCGGTGCCCAGCTACGTCGTGTTATACTTGTAAGAATTGTTCTAGACATGCCGAAAATGTGAAGCTACAGCACAGCAGCTTCTTCGTTTTCTCTGATGCACTAACTCTGCAGCAGCACTTCTTCATCGTCGTCTCGTCTGATGCACTCACTCAACCAAGCATTCTAACCACAACCTCGCCCCTCCCCACCCCCCAACCATTCGAATTTCTGTAACCCCAACCTCGCCCCTCCCCACCCCCCAACCATTCGAATTTCTGTAGGCTGGAATTATTTGTAATGATATTCCAATGAGCCACTTTGTGATATCAAAAAGCCCGGAAAACAAATGCTGTAGTCCAAACGAGCCATTCGTTGCAGTTCTTGAAAAGGGATTTTTTTTTAAACGAAATATCTCCCTTTGGAGTGGACTTTGAGATTTGTAACTTTCTAAATATTTTTTTATGCCCAAACATACACACTACACACTGACTAAAATTTAAAAAGTGAAAAAGCATAATAGGACCCCTTTAAATTCACAATAAAATACTGTATTTCATTAACTGATGTAATGTTAATAAACCAACATATTGAAGTACTAACAGTAATTTAAGTTTTGAACCATTGTAATGCACTGATAACCACCAAAAACTGGTGGTAATGAGAAAGTCACATGATGAACCAAAGCTCATCACAAACAGCTTTTCTATGAGCTGAGGAGGGCAGTACTTATACATAGAAGGTTCACAGTGTCATTCACACAAACACTAAACCCCATAATGGTGACACACATGCTACTGAAATAATGCAATAAACATTAATTTAACAACATTAGATGTAAGATTAAACCCTAATGTACACAACTGATAAGAAAAAACTAAGAAACATGTTATTTCAACAAAAAAAAAACATCAAATATGAAGTGTCATGCAGGGAATTCTGGGAGTGTCAATTTACGGTTTGTCACTGTAAATATTACAATGACTTTTTCTTTTTCACTCTTTACAGTATTTTACTGTATAATTACATTAAAAGTAATTACATTTATTCACCGAATATAGTATGTAAACTTACTGTTAACCAGTTAGGGTTAGGGTTAGGACAGTCTTTTACTGTTAAAATCACAATAATTTTTTACAGTGTACATTTTAACATGGTTTTGCTAATGCTAATGATTTTACTCATGTATTAGAGATTTTTAAATAGTTTTGATCATGTTGATAATTTAGAATTTCATGCATTAAATATGATTCAGTAGGGTTAAGAGGACAACACTTAAAGGGATAGTTCATACCTACGTCCTACGTCATCACTCTCTTGTGAACGTGTGTACAACAGTTAGTGGAAGCTAGAGATTCCGGTTTATAAAGTTTAAAATGGATATTTTTCTTACACAAACTCTTCGCTTCACTTCAAAAGGCCTTTATTAACCCCCCCCCCCCCCCCCCACATAGGTTTATTTTTTTGTTTTCTCTTTTTATAAATCACGGAGCCCAATGTTTATTTAGCGCAGAAAAGTAATTAAAATGCTATAACAATGTTGTATGTGTTATAATCAGTCAAAAATCATAAAAAGTCCCATGAAATCTTGGAGGGACTGTGTTTTACCCTATTTCATTGTGTTTTTGTGCTTATTAGTGTTGTGAAGTTTAGCAGCTTGTAAATTTCAAACTCTCCTGGACTCAAATGAGGAGTGTCTGTGTGTGTTTGAGCAGCTGTCAATCACAGATCCTCTTTTCTCTCTCTCTCTCTCTGTGCAGTTGAGTTTGACTCCAGCACAGTTGATGTTGCAGCAAACGCAGGCGCAGCTCCTCGCCACAGCCGTGCAACAGTCTGCAAGTCAACAGACCAGCACCACTGGAGCCAATATCTCTGCCTCTGCGGCCACGCCCATCACACTGTCTCAGCCCATTCAGATCGTGTCTGTAAGTGACATCTCACTGTCCAATCAGATTCCAGATTACTGACACTCCCTCTAACACTGGATGCATTACTTTTGTCAGAGCATAAGCATCTGTCTCAGATTGAGAATTGCTGCTCATTCACAACTGGTTCAGTCCTTCAAAACAAAATACTTTATTTTTCTGGTGCCCACTTCTGTTAGTAAGACAGAATAGTGTTTAAACTTGTTTAAGGTCAAAGAAATTAATACTTACGGTGACCGGGAGGGGACATGTTCAGTTAACTTATTTTTGTCGTGGTCACTACATATTAACTCGTGGGAACGTGATAAAATGTCGTGGCCACGAGATTATTTTGTCGAAGTAACGTCATCCTTATGTCGTGGCCACGCGATGTGAAGTCATGGCCTCGAGATCCTGTTGAGGGAACAACATCCATTTCTCGAGTTTAATGCCAGGAGTTTGATGCGTAAACAAACCTGTGTGACCATCGTAACCTGCGATTATCAGAGATGGATAAACATTTTTATCAATCCCGTAAATTCGTTAACTGATTGTGTCTTTTTATTTAATATTTGTATATTATTATTATTATGTGTGTTGTTATTATTATTAAACTGTAATATAATATTATTATATTAACTGGTTTAGGGCTATATTTTTATATTTATTTTTGTATTTCCCCTTTCAATTGTATCGCTTTACCTAATTAACGTTCTAATTATTATTAATATGCTACCATATATTTGCCTGACAGCTATGCCATTAAAGTTTTGACTTTATGATTGTGCCAGTGTGTGACGATAAATGAGCATGTTGTGTTTTCATTTGCAAATTCATTCCTCAACTAAATTATAGTCTATTAATTAGCTAAAATAAAATTAAAATAAATATATGCTAAATTCAACCTTAAAATGACTGCATAATCAAAGCTTTATTGGCATTGTCAAGCATTTACAGTAGGTAATTATTTACAAAACTATTCAGAACGTTAAGTAAAGAGATCGAAAAGAAGAGAAAATAAATCAAATACATAACAAATATAAAAATACAACCATAATAATAATAATTATTATTATATACAAATATTATGGAAAAGATGATCAGTTAATGGAGACTGTGGCATGGATAAAAATGTTTTCTTGTAGTTTCTTGTATTTTATTTTATGTACTTTATGTAACATTTATTCATGATAAATTCATTCGAATGCTGTCTACATTGTGCGCAATACAGTCCGGTAGCCTAGGCCTTTGGTTAATATAATAATGTAATAATTTCTATAATAATTAATATAATTTCTAAATTCTTAATAAAATATTAACTCTGATCCTAGGTTGCTATGGTCATGCAGGTTTGTTTATGCATTAAACTCATGGCCACGAGAAAAATATGTTGTTCCCTCAACATAGCATCT